AGAGAACAGGTGGAGGATCCTGCAATGTAGTTACTATAGCCTCAGCAACAGGAACAGAGGCAGGGCTCGGTAGCTCACCAGGCAACCCTTCTAGCAAGGTAGCAGTTAAAATCTCAAAAGAGCCAAGAACAGGCGAGAAGGTTGGGGCCTCGATCTTGGATAGAACTCTCGTTACCAAATCAACAGAAAAGGACGTATTAGCATGAACAACTAGAGAAGTGGACATTTCAGTACCTTCTAGAGCTCTATCAGAGGCAATAGGAGCCAAGGTGCTATCATCGCCCTCTGAATCAGACTCTTCCAACTCCTCCTCAGTGGGGATGACAAAGTCAAATTCGAGGTCTAGGTAGGCCTTTTCTGCTTTACGCTAAAAGGCCAGCCATCCTGAGGCCCACTTGGTAGTGACATCATCCTTCAGCTCGACTATTATGTCATCTCTCTCCTTGATAGCTGTCTTCTACACCTCAAGCTCACTGCATAGGCTCTCGTTCGCCTCAACCAGTATAACATACTCCTTTCTAAGCCTCTCGAGGGAGCCCCGAGCATCAAAGGCTTCCTGGCTAGCTTTGTTCCAAGCATTGATTTTGAGTAGTAGCACTTCCTTGGTCATCCTCAGCTCATCCCTGACCTTCTTCTCTCTTTCCTCAGCCCTATCCTTAGCAGCTTGAAGGCCTTCGTAGTTAGAGGCCCGCTGCTCCATTTGCACCTCGAGCTTTTGCACCTAAGCTCTAAGTCTCTCATTGTCAAAGGTCAACTCAGTAACCTTAAACTCGTATGTCTTCAAAGCTTTGGCAAAGTCCTCCGAAGATCGGACCCTGCCCATCGAGTTCTTCAAATGAAAAGTCATCTGTGGACAAAAAAAAAGAGGAAACAGACATAGATCAGCACAATTCAACCGCGCCGAGCTAAGAGCGAGTGTGAAAATACTTAAAATGGCTACTCCCTGAAGAACTGAGTAGAAAGAGGCCTCTAGAGGCATGGTAGAGGCCCTCTGAATATCGGATTTAGGGAGAATGGATGAACTAGCCCCAACAGCCAACTCAGCATTGTCGAAAAAGGAGTCTTCATCAGTCTCCTGGCCCTCCCTCTTTTTGACTTTGGGAATTCGGAGAGGTAGTTGGGATGGTTACTCAGGCGGTCCGGGGGATGCAAAGTCTAGCTTGATTCCAGTAATCAGCCCTAATACTCCCTCAACCTCAACAGAGGTGGGAGAAGTCAGCCCTGACTCGGAAGTCTTTCGGGGGGCAAACTAGGGCCCCTTGAAGAGGAGAAAGGGCCAGGGATTGAGACGAGGGAATCTGTCCTCCCTTGCTCAAGGCAAGAAAAAAGGGCACTCCCAGCTTCTGCACTTTAGCTCTGTCAACGGGGCTGCCTCCAGAGCTGGTATTGGTCTTCCATTTACCACTTTTTCAACTCTTCTTCAGTAGGTCAACTTTAGCCTGGGGTTCTTCAAGGGTAGATTTCATTATGGAGGAGCTTGGGAGATCTGATCCGAGCAAGTTAAACAGAAGAGAGGAAAAAGAAGGGAAAGCAATAGAACCAACTCAGAAAATGTTACCTTCTATGTCTTTAGGCCTAACAACTGAGATAGGGAGCGGAGTTTCTATCGATACCTTAGAAGGACTGAATCTCTGTGTTACTAAGACCCAGGGCTTGATGAGCTCGGAGTACTTCTCTGGATTACACTTCTCCAACTTTTGCTTTACTCTCTTATCCTCAACACTGAGCTCTAATCGAATGCCTGCAAAATAACACAAGGAGAGCAAAGGTCAAAAATGTGACTCAACAATTTCTAAATCAGAGCTCAATCAGTTCGAGCAAGGGCTTACCTAAGTTATCAGGGGTGAACCAAGTTCTAGGAATATCCAGAGTATCAGTCCTATCAGCAGGGTTGTACTCCCAGTTGGTGCCCCCAAAGAAAAAGAATTGTTTCTTCCAACCTTTTATGGGAGCTCGGATGGTGAGTAATGATCTGTCTAGCCGTGGTTTGTTTGGAGATATATAAGAAACCCTCTGATGAGGTGAGCTTGACATTAAAAAGATCCACAAGTAAAGAAAGGATGGAGACCCCAAGTCCATGAATCTTGAATAAAAACAAGAAGACCTACAAGTACACCCCAGAAATTAGGGGAGAGCTGAGCAGGATAGACATTGAAGTGTTGCAAAACACTCTTGATAAAGGGATGCATAGGGAAGCAAAAGTCATTCTCAAAAGCAGCCACAAAGAAACATACTCTCTTATGAACTTAGGCAACGTATGGGGTGTATTTTTCTAGACACCAGGGTTGGACACCAAGAGAAAAATCGTAATGAGCACTGAAAATTCTCATATGAGAAGAGTCAACCTCACTAGATCCTACGAGCTTAGCATGCCTAAAAGTGGCCCCTGTGTCCGCCACGCTGTCAGAGGCTTCTATCTCACTCACCTTGCCCTTACCTTTGTTAGGATTAGGGGGCACAAAAGAAAATAATGGAGATGGTTCCTCAGTATTTTTCTCAGCATCGACAGCATCCATACGAGAGAAATTGTCAATTTTCTCGCCTACATTCCCTAAATCAGTGTCCTCTTCGACAAACCTTTCCCTTAAGAGAAAAGTAAATGAGCGTGTAACTCTGGAAGAAGTAGACATAACTGGACATGAGAAAGGTAAACTGAAAGAATGGTAGAGAGGAGGAATACTAATTAAGCACTCCCTGATAATCCTAAGGTCAGCACAGTAGCTTCCAACAACAAGGATTCGCACGATAGAAGACCAGTCCATGAAGTGGGGGAGAGGAGACAAGCAGTAATTTCGATTCCAAAAGTAAAAGAACCGAAAGGTCCATAAATGCAATGGCCACCTCAAATTTGAGGGATTCAGAACGAGAAAAGGTAAAAAAGGGACAAAAGGGCGTACCTAGGTGGGAAAGAGAAACGAACAATAGCCAAGAGCGAAATGGAAGAAAGAAGGCAATGCGAATCGTCAAATCAGACCTACAGAACTTGGTCTTGAAAGAGAAATCAGAGAATTCCAAACTAGAAAGCCAAGAAATCGCGAGAAGAGGAAGTAGTAGAGAAGTTGAACAGTGGAATAGGGCGGTTTAGATAGCCGTTTGAGCATTTAAAGTTTGAGAGATGTGGACTGGAACGTGCACAAAAAACGAGGAAGCCATGATTGCTGAAAATCGTCAAAAAGACCTAACTCACGTGTAAGCCAAGGTCAGCTACGTGCAGATCCTGCTCGGTTTAAAAAACAGCTCAACCCCTGCCCAAGCCCGCTTGAACCAGGGGCAGGGGGCAACTGAAGATACCTCAAACAAGCCCTAGTTGTGAGCTCAAGTCAAGAGGTCAAGAAAGACACGGGAAACTCAGAGAACCATGGGTGGAGCTCCCCTTGGGGAGATCGTAACTGAACCGACCAGGAAACAGCTGGATGATTGTGAAAATTGGGCCCCATGAATGAAACTCGCAACCAACCAAGATTCTCTCCTAAAATCAAGGAGGATCTCATGAATAATGGGCAAAGATCTCGACTGAAATCCCACAGAATAAAGGGCAGCCTTATAAATACTATGTAATGCCTCATCGAGAGGGAGAAAGCAAAAAAAAATCCTAATTGAATTATGCACTGTCTTGTATTACATTCAAATAATCAATAGAGAATAAAAGGAGCAAGAGCCTTCATTTGAGAATGGATTAGCCAAGCTCCAGAGCTGGTGAACCACTATATTCCTACTGTGCAAATTTTCCTATCCCCTAAGAAACACTTCATCATTGCCATTACGAAGTTGGCAGCCTTACTTCACCGTTGGTCCCATGCACTTTGTTCACTCACATTAGTCTGCACCATCAAATGCTAAACTCATTATTCGCTTTGCTTTATAGATTTAAATTCAATTCACTTGCTACTTTTCTTTCTTGTTGTTTTCTTTACAGTGTCTTTCATACGTTTATATTTGGTGAAATCATTTAAAGTTCTTGAGCACCAACACATAGAAAAGAATCTAGATGTAACCTTTTGTCTCGCTACATTCGTCTACATAGTCACGATTTTAGAATCTGACGTCGGTTCGAGTAGATAAAGTCATACGTGTTTAATTTTTAAGTTCACCAGGACTTTGGCACGCCCGTAATCAAAATTACACTAAACATATTTTTAGCACGCCCAGCAGAACCATCAAAGAGATAGTATGTCGAACACTCGAGGTAAATGCAAAATTGGCTCATCTGAAATTCCTCCAGCACACGAAGTTGTAGAGCAACAACCAAAGTAAAACACAATCAGAATAGTGAAGTGAAAATTCTGCTGACAAAAGATGGTGATGTGCAACGCAATGGAACTGAAACCTTCAAATCCTTGAAGTTAATTGTGTATTACACCAAGCGAAAACTCATCCATGTCATGGAAAATGTTACTGCTATTATTAAAGAGGTAGGGGAGCGGCTTTTCTAAAGGACAAAAACCTTTCTTGATTCCCGACATTCCTGGAATTGGTAAGATAATTGCTAGAGCGGTTTTGTATATATTTTCTTATGTGATACAGATAATTCATTGAATAATATACATTTTTCAGAAAGATTATCTTATTATTTTCTTTGTGAATGCAAAGTACCTTTGTTTTATACACTTAGAAACGATATTTTCTTTGTATTCCTTGTTTCGTTGCATCAATTCCCTAGCCATGGGTTGGAAAATCTTACGATTATTTTATGTGACTTCATGTAATTTTATCTGGGTTTCTCAATAGAACAAATCAAAATTCTCAATGATTCAACCTATTTCACTATTTTAGCAAATAAGAAATCAAAATGACCACTTACCCCAGCATAATATTTAAAAAAAATCAAAATAACCATTTTCTTATTATTTCCACATTTTACAATTTTCTTAATACACTCAAATTCCTTACAATGGAAATAGTAAATTAGAATAGAAGCCCAAACATCACTGAACATTTGAGCACAAATTTGCATGACAATGTCTTCCTTTTTTTGTGTGGCCCCTCAAAATGACCACCTATTAAGCATTGATTGAAAACTCATATAACATTACATGCTTGTAAGCCTTTCCTGGAGCAACAACCTGTGAAGGGAAATTCTGGTGATTGACAGAGTCAGGGAACCCTTGTGTTTCCAAACACAAGCCAGCATGAGCTTGATAAACATATCCACCTTTCCCCTTCACATTTTTTTTCCAGTTGCCGGTATAAAACTGCACGCCCGGTGCAGTTGACGAAAGCTTCATTACTATTCCAGACTTCTTATCATGCACCATAGCCACTGGCTTAATCTTGTTGTCGTTGTCACCATCAATGACATAGTTGATATCGTAACCATTAGGAAGATCTTTTATCTTGTTGTCAATAGTTTGTGGATCGAGGAAATCATAGGGTGTACCCTTCACGGATGCAATTTCTCCTGTGGGGATGCCCTTAATAATTGGGGTGATTTTGGATGCAAATATCTGAACCTCCTCGGATAGGATATCACCGCTGGTGTGGCCTCCAAGGTTCCAGTAAGTGTGTTGGGCTAGATTCACTGGAGTGGCCTTATGTAAGGCCGTGGCTTCCATTATTACTTGCAAATTGTAAAATCCACTGAGGACATAGGTCATAGTGACATGAAGATCGCCAGGAAAACCTATGTAATACACAAGGAAGTAGAAATTTTAGGAACATTTATGCTAAAACACAATGCTGATTATGTAGAAGAACATCATATTTAGGTATACCTGATCCCACAATGTCATGCACTTTTCCTAATATGTTCATGATACAAGAAAATGGAAACAATTACCTTCTTCACCATCAGCACTGTAATAGGAGAAGGTAATACTAGGAGATTCACTATCCTTCTGATGATCTATTACCTTCCAAACAACATCACTGAATCCTTTCGACCCACCTAGTATCCAATATAACAACATGCATGAAATGAATGAAGGAACTTATTTAAACTAGACGGAGGATCAAAATTAAAGGTATGTGATTTTTCATTTAGTCATGGACCCAGTGCAAGTGGAGGAGCACGAAAAATAAAATAAGGTATATGTACCATGAAGCATGTTAGGCCCTGCATTAGCATCTAGCTTATAAGTGATCCCAAATAATGTAAATTGAGCACCAGCAATCCGATTAGCAACCCGTCCAACAGTAGCACCAAAGTATGACGAATCATTCTGTAGTAAATGACATGTACATGAACAATTTCGATCATAAATTTCATCTTTAATTTAGAAAATAAATACAAGAACCTAAAATAAATAGAATCGTTACATAGTAAATGGTGGTACTATTTGCTAGCATTATATGAGATAATGAGCTCAAGTTGCACATTTAGGAGGAACCCACATCATTTGCTTCACTAGGCTTTTGTAAAATTGAGAATTTTAATAACATGTCCAATGTTACTTCTAAGAACATTATAGTTCCCATATAAAAAAATGCAATCACGAATTGAAAGAACTATTCTCTCTGCCTCAAGAAAGTTAAAACATTCTACCACGAGTGTTGTGTCACTATGAGTTTAGGAAATGTGCCACATGGTGAGACTATTTCCTGACCCAAACTCATAATAAATTACAATGCCCAAAGACCAAGTGATCAACAGTTATTCTTTTGAAGAACGTTGATTTCTGTCTTCGATCAACATATTTTGTCTACAATAATAGGCTAGAAGCCATAGTGGACCATGTTTTTCTTTTCCGAAGGTAATAATGGACAAATTTTCTATTGATATCAATTCTCAAATATTCTAAATTGTGTCACCACACACTCTCTCTCTCTCCCAGAATGGAACCGTTTTGTATTTAACCAACAGAACTTTAACACAAGAAAATATCTTATCTAGAGGAATCTCACCATATAGTCCTTAATAGAATCATACCCAAGGACAACATCTGTCAACTCGCCTGAGAAAATAGAAAAGTTTTTTTAAGAAACAATAGCATAATGAATATCTGTACAAATGAAAATGACCACATGGGTACACACCATCTCTATTAGGAAGAACAACAGACACAATGCTTGCACCCCAGTTAGTAAACTTGACCAAGAATTCATCTTTTTGCAGCTCATAAATCCCAACTTCTTCGTCTACCTCTGTGCCATTAACAACCACCCCAAAGGCAACAATAATGAAACATAACAAGATAGAGATCTTTGACAACTTCATGGTTCAATAATGAGATTTTGAGCTGTTTTACTAGTTCTCAAGAGGTTTTCGAATGGGTTTTAGGCTTATGAGTTATACCCTTATATATACACACAAATCTCACAGTATGCATATACTATATTAAACATGGAAAGCTGTACTATTCAATGAAAGCTGTACTATTCAATGAAAGCTGTACAATGCAATTTTGGAATTTGATAAGTTCAGAAGTAGTGGAAAAGAGATTTTACCTTGAAAGACGGAGATGGATTTGGGTATTCTGGGACAAAACGAACCAAAAATGATATACTAATCTAAGAGTTTTTATCTTGGGAGCTAGAAAGTAGTTTTGAATTAGCAAACACATGTAGCCAAAAGAGGTGCAAAGATTCCTGATAGGCCATTGATAATAATAGATTTGGCCTCCAAATAAAGAGAAATGGAATGGTATGAATGTGTAAATAGGATGGTCGGAAGATGGAAAATAATAAATTGCTTGTTTGAATATTGCAAAACAAACCCTCATTTGACACATGTTTCATGAAAAGTTTCAAAGAAAAAAGTTTAATGAAGACCTTGCAAAAAGAAAAATGTTAGGGAAAGCAATGTCTGTGGCATTCAATCAGCAATTTGCAACCATCACATAATAACCAGAAGGTTAAACCAAAAAAAATCAGAAATGTTATGTTGCTCAAATTAAAACTCAAATCTTGTATCTCAAATATATGTGTGCCACACATGCATCCACTAACCAAAACCCACCACCACCACTCACACCCACCATCGCTGACAACCACAACCATCGCCGCCCACCACCATCGCCCACCACCACCACTCACAATCACAATCGCCGCCAACTACTACCATCCACCATCGTCGCCAACCACCACCACCCAAAATAGTAAAAAATTTGTGAATTTAAAAATATTGAAAAAAAAACATAAATAGTGAACTTTTATATAATGAAATTCTTAATTTACAAAATTTTCACAAACTGTGAAATTGAATATGATAAAACTCCTAGTTCACTATCCACTTTTTACAAATAGTGAACTAAAAAAATATTAAAAATTTGAATTGAAAAACATATAAAAAAAAAACAAACTCAAAAATATTGAAAAAACATAAATAGTGAACTCAAAAAACAATAAACTTTTATAGAGTGAAATTTCTAGTTTACAAAATTTTCACAAATAGTGAACTTTAATATAATAAAACTCCTAGTTCATTGTGAAGTCAAATACTGTGAAATTAAAAATAAAGAACTTAAACAATGAACAACTATCATCGCTTCCACCAACACCCATCACTACCACTATCGCCACCAACCACCACCACCCATAACCCACCACTCAAAAGAGTGAAAAACTGGAGAATTAAAAAATATTGGAAAAAATAGACATAATTAATGGCATAAAAACTGTATATACCAAAAAATAGAATTCAAAACTAGTGAAAACAATGAAAAATTAGTGAACTTAAAAAAGAATGAAAAATAGTGAACTCAAAAATAATGAAATTCAGTGAATTCAAAAATAGTAAAAAATAGTGAACTTAAAAAAAGTAAACAACAATGGAACTCAACTCAAAAACAATGAAATTTAGTGAATTCAAAAATGATGAAAAACAGTGAATTCAAAAATAATAAAATTTAGTAAGCTCAAAAATAGTGAAAAATTACTGATTATGAGTTAAAGTTCAAAAAATTATCTTTTCAAAATGAAGACAGGTTCTCAAAGAGTCAAGAACAACCTTGGAAGGAGAAGAGACACCTAGGTATTTGATTTAGCTTTTAAAAATCAATTGGTTTGGTTTGACGGTGTGCATCTTAGGACAGTTGAACTCAAAAACCTTCCCTCTTGCTTTTTTTTTTTTTTTTTTTTGATCATATTTCATACCCAGAACTAGAAGGTGTTGGTTAAACTCGAACCTTGAGTGTATGAGCAAGGTGAAAAAGCACTTATCACTAGGACTGTCAACCTCTCTCTCTTTTAGAATGAGAAATAATAGCAACCATACAATGTACAAATTTTGAAGACCCATAATGGGCACCCATAGTCCACTTATTATTCAGAAACGGACAAAACAAATTACTTACCATATTCAATCAAATTCCATGAGGAAACAAGAAAAATACTGACCTCCAAAACATTCCAATTGGGAAAATAGAAACATGGCTAGCTCCTTGGATCTCATAAACTAATCGTCACTTACTAACACATTACTTCTATGAGACAGAATTAATTTTAGGGCACCTTTTGCAGCATCATATCGAAAAATGATTGTAACTGTTAAATTGGATAATCTAACCCCATTAACTAAATATAATAATAAATTAATAGAAATATTAAAGTAAGGAAAAAAACAGTATACATAATCAAAAAATATATTTCATTACTGTAACACTTTGTTAATTTTATGAAAAAACAAAATCCAAATCTCTCTGCATTCCCAATCCAATTCCAGAAAACCATCTTTTAAAAATGAAGACTGATGTTCTCAAAGAGTCATGAATAACCTTAGGAGGAGGAGGAGAGACCTAGTTATTTGGTTTAGCTTTTAAAAATCAATTGGTTTGGTTTGACAGTTTGCATCTTAGGTACTATGTAATTCAATTTTCGAAGTCGAGGTAGATTTGTAGCATATTGAGTGAAGATGGTTCGAACACAATTTGAGATAAATAGATTTGGAGAGTTGAACTCAAAACCCTTCCCTCTTGTTTTTTTTTTTTTTCTGATAATAGGAAGGAGTTAGTTAAACTCGAACCTTGCATTTATGAACAAAGCGAAAAGCACACTAATGATTATGTCGGTCCTCTTTTGCTCAACCTTCCCTCGTGTACGAATGAGAAATAATAGCAACCATACAAACATCCAAATTTTGAAGATCCATAATGGGCAACCATAGTCCACTTATTATTCATAAACAAACAAACCAAATTACATATTGAAGGGGCTAATCCTCGTGGTTACACGTGTTAGAACATTAAATGGGCTCACGAGAGATTGACAAGACTGATCACGTGAGGAAGAAATTATTCACCCAGTCATTTAATCCGAGCCGAATAGAATAAAGGATTCGGCAAGAAGATTAAAGAGTTCGGTTCTCATGCCTAGCTAGCTCATGAATCCGTTCAACAAAGCCAGGAAAGTGCTCGGCTTGTACCAAGCCAAATTCTCTAGAATGCGCGGTTTGTACCAAACTGAGTTTCCAAACAGTTAAGCAAACATTAACCGAGCTCGGCATTCAGAATGCCCAAGCAATTCGCAATGGTAGAAGGAAAGTTAAAGACTTGCCTAAAACTTAGGCAATCAGATAAACGAAATCAACGAGATTAAAAATACGATGAGAAATTGTTGGAGAAACATTAGAAACCTTCCAAAACTCAAATACTGAATGAAAGGAAGGTGTGCCACCTTGAACCTAAAATAGTGGAAACTCTAAGGGGATAATGATCTATAAAAAACAGAAGAGACCAAGGTGAAAGGTACGCTGAACTCTCCTTGTCTTCGTGCAATTCTTCTCGTTCCATTACTGACTTAAGCATCGGAGTATCTTCGATCGAAACACTTCGATCTTGGGCAGTTTGTTCATTTTGCAGGAAGAAGATTTGGAGATAGTTCAAAACTCTTTTTTTGGAAGTTATTTTTTTGCATTTCATTTATGCTTAAATGTTTTATATTTCACTTACTTATTGAATGATTGGTTGTATCTAGCAAAGGTAAGGTACTTTGTTTAACCGTGAGTACTTTCTATAACATAGATGACTCTTATATAGAAAGACTCATTGGTTCAAGGGAAGAACCTCAACTAGATCTTCATGACTACCCCTCAATCTTCACCATTATTGAACTTCATTTAAAGGATAGAATATTAACGTTATGGTTGGATGCCTTGTAGAAACACTTGCTTGTTTGTAAACGGGTTGAGTCTCGGAACAGACAATTCTTGTAAACTTCTAGAAAAGCATCGAAACCATGTACTTAATTCTTACAATTCACCTTTATCTTCCAATTAACTTGCTGTTGACACGGGAGTTAATTGAATTACCAAGCACAAGTATAATAAATCAAATGATTAACTACATGGTGACTGTTTACATTTGAATTTATCTTATATTTTGTTTAGAAAAATTTCTTGAAAAGAATGATATATTTGGCCCAGGAAAATCTCTAAACATTATCACTATAAATCTCAAAGGTTACAATCACATAGTCTTTGTCACTGCTTACTTCAAAACACCAACAATAGTTCCCTATGGATTCAACTCCGGACTTAACTGGATTATTACTACAACTTGACTACCTGCACTTGGGTGTATACATATCGGATCAAGTCACAAGCCACTTCAACTTGTTCACTCTGATGTTTGCAGACCCATAGTCCCACCATCATTTGGTAAGAATTAGTATTTTCTTCTCTTTATTGATGATTTTAACCGAAAAATATGAGTTTACTTTCTAACAAATGAGTATTTAAGACTTTGATTGAAAAAATGAGTATGAAGTTAAGACAATTAGATCTGATAGAAGAGGTGAATTCACATCAAATGAATTCAAAAAAAATTGTGATGGAAATAAAACTCAGCATCCTCTAAGATCACCACAACAAAATGGTGTTGTCAAAAGGAAGAATCAAACCATTCTTGACATGGCTCAGAATATATTGAAGAGTAAGAAAATGCCTAAGGAGTTTTGGGTAGAAGCTATTAATTGTGTCATCTACTTGTTGAATTGGAGTCCCACTAGAAGTGTTCAAGACAAAACACCATAAGAAGCATAGGGAGGAATCAAGTCAAGTGTCTTTCATTTGCAGGTCTTTGGAAGTGTATGTTATGCACATGTGCTGGATGATAAACTAATCAAATTAGATGACAAGAATGAAAAGTTTGTCTTCATTAGTTATGATTCAACAAGCAAAGGCTATAAGATTTACAACTCAAGCAATGAAAAGATTAGCATTAGTAGATATGTTGAGTTTGATGAAGAAGATGAATAAGATAGAAACACTCCACAATAAGACTGATTTTTTCTCATTCTTTGAAGAAGATGAGGAGCTCAATGAGATAATGGAGCTACCCATTTATTCTCCACCATCACCCACCAATGTGCAAGCATCTTTATTACATCCAATGCAAGTTCAAGTGAAAGGCCACCTCGCATGAGAAGTCTTTTCAAATATCGATGAAGAAACCGAAGAGATAATTCAAAGATTTAATGATCTAACACTTTTTTGCATATTTTCTGATTTTGATCCCATAGGCTATGAGAAAGAGGCACAATATAAGAAGTGAAGAAGTGTCATGAATGAAGAAATTGAAGCTATTGAGAAGAACAAAACATGGGAACTTGCCACACTCCTTAGAGAGCAAAAGGCTATTGGAGTGAAGTGGGTGTACAAAACAAAAAAGAATGTCAAAGGTGAAATGAAGAGGTATAAAGAAAGATTGGTTGCAAAAGGCTATAGTTAAAAACAGACTATTTACACCCGTTGTTCATTTGGAAACAATTAGGTTGATTATTTCTTTAACCACTCTAAATAGTAGAAAAATTCTCTAAATGGATGTGAATTCCGCTTTTTTGAATGATTTTCTTGATGAAGAGGTGTATATTAAACAACCCTTGGGTCATGTTGTGAAAGGTCAAGAAGAGAAAGTCTTGAAATTGAAGAAGGCATTATATGGCAAATGACAAGCCCAGATTTAACTAGGTTAGGCCCAATTAATGAGCTAGGCCCAAATCAGCTACAAGACAGGTCAAGCCCAGTATGGATTCGACCCAATCCAAAATTCAAGGAGTCCAAAAGGATTAGAGCACGTGAGGAGCAATTATCAAGATACTCACTCTCAAAAATCAACGCAACCTTTAATTGCACTTACCTTTTGTAGCTTCTCGAAGATCTAGTACCTTTACCCTTACATCACCGCTTCAACTAAGGCTTTGTGCCTATAAATTGTATGTTCTCTCTACATGAAATGACACATTGAGCTCTATCTCTATACCTCTCTACACACCCCCACACATTACTTTTCTCTCTCCTAGCTATTGTATCTCTCCCGGGGCTAACTATTGCTCTTTCTCTCTCTTTCACCTTACTTAATCAATAAAATGTCCCCCGGCCACCATTATCGTTTCCTAGAGTGGAGTAGGTCACCCTGACCGAACCACTATATGTCTGCGTGTTGACCCGATATTTAAATTATTGTCATTGATTGCTCTATTAATTATCCCATAACTACACTCTATCATACACTTGACTATTGATCTTGCATAAATCTGTTTTGTGCATCATGAGTTTGAAACAAGCAACAAGAGCTTAGAATAGTAGACTTGACAAGTACTTTCAAATAAATAATTTCACTAAATATCCCTATGAACATTCTTTTTATGCAAAGGTGAATGATAATGGTGATATATTTTATATTTGTTTGTATGAGGTTGAATTGATCTTCACATGAAATTGTCCAAGAATGTTTGAAAATCTCAAGGGAACGATGGTTAAAGAATTTGAGATGACCGACATTGGGCTCATGTCTTATTATCTTGGTATTGAAGTGGAGCAAATAAAAGAAGACATTTTCATCTACCAAGAAGGTTATACTAAGAAAATTTTGAAAATTCAAGATACAAGATTGTAAGCCAGTAAGTACACATGTTGAATGTGAAATAAAGTTATCAAAATTTGAAGATGGAGAGCATGTGAATTCCACTCATTTCAAGAGCTTAGTTGGAGGCTTGAGGTACTTGACATATACAAGACCGGATATTCTTTTTGGCGTTTGTCTTGTAAGTCACTACCATGACTCACTTGAAGGGGGCAAAAAAAATTCCTAGATACATCGAAGGTACATTTGATTATGGATTGTTATATTTTTTTTCTAACAATTCTAAGCTTGTGATTTATTGTTACAGTGATTGAGCCAGAGATATGGATAATAGAAAAAGTACTATCAGGTATGTTTTCTCTCTCTCTTTTCTCTCTTCTCTCTCGTTCTCTTTCTCTCTCTCTCCACCCTTTACAACCTCTTCCCCCTTTACCCAATCTCTCCTTTTTCTAAGCAACCCCCCTCTATACCCTCTATGCAACCCAACCCCTACACAACCCCCTATATTTCTACTCCCTCAACACAACCCATGCCTACACACACATAACACAAACACACACCCAAACCCACAAAACACACTCACCCACGTGCACTAAACACACTTCGCACACCCCCCCCCCAAAAAAGCAAACACACACACACACATCGCACAACATTCAAAAAATTTGAGAAATTAGGGCTCTTAATTTGAGAAAATTTATACTGTTAATATTTTTTGGAGAAAATTGATGTTGTTAATTTGATGGGTTGAGGTCGTTAATTTGAATTGATAGCTGTTAATTGTTGTCAAAGTTGAGGTTGTTAATTTGATGGATTGGGTCTAGGTTTGAATTAGTTGAAGAGTTTGAGTTTGGGTTCAATGATACTTTGATTTGCATTGTTATTCAAATTGTGAATTTGTGTTAGATTTGAACTCAAAGTGTTTGTAGTATTTCTTAAATGAGGTGGATTTATCTATTTATTTGATATTTCATTAATTGCTCATCTCTTTAATTTTTATTTTTTTGTGCATATTTTTCAATTTTATTTTCCATCCATCCGGTTTATTTTTTTGTTTTAAGTCTTAAACTTCTGGGATGTTGCGTGCTTGTGTAATCCAAAAATTTCATATTTGTTTTGGTTGTTCTTTTAGGACCTACTCCAAAGTAAGTTCGATGTAAAAAATCTCACTCTAGCTCATGTCAAGAGGCATTTATAGACACAACACAACGAGAAGAAAAACCTTATTTTCAACTCCTTCTTTTTCTATCTCTGGATGTATGATGCTTGGCTGGTCTTTATCTACCACTCCAGCACAATAATTGCCTGAAGTGAATGACTCAATGGCCACCTTCAATGGCCGTAATTTTGTAAATGGCAGCCAATGATGTTGCAGCCATATCAAAATGGATAAATTTGGGCATTATTCTACGAGTTTTACAAAAGTCTTTTTACCCTGAATTAATGTGAGTTGTTAGACTTCTCACTGCAATTCAATAAACTAGATTTCAAAGCATATTCACAAAGTTTTACCCTTATTCTATGTTATTAGAAATTTATACTCATTTTTAAGGGTAAATTATACCTTAACTATGACTATTTTCTTACATTGTCCCCTTAACTATCATGTTTATCACATTTTATTCTAAAGTATGTGATTAATTTCTCATTACCCAAATTATTAATGGTCATTACATATTTATTTAACAAAATATTACATCATTCTTTCGAATTATGTAATTTTTTTTACTTTACCTCGACACACCATCAATTCCCATTCAAGCACGTAGTGGATGTTTGGGATTGAGGCAATGTGAATAATTCAAGTAGTTGAGGGGACAATTTGAAAAATTCAATAGTTCAAGGGATAAAATGAAATTGAGTCCATCATTTAGAGGGACCAAGGTGTAATTTATGCTATTATTCATCAAATTGATGGTTGCTTGAAAATTTGGTGAAAATACAAAACCTTAAGGCTGCTTTAATATAAACGTGTTTTTCAAAGTCTTAAAAGTACATTTTCCGAACATAACTTTGTGTTAAAAAGTGTAAGTTTAAATAATCGATTTTCTGATGTAAAATAGGTGACAATTAATTACTTGGAATGAGAAAATTGTCGTGCGTCCAAGGCCCAACGAAAAATAAAAAAGTGAGACTGACACTAGAGGTAAAAAGGGTCACGCTCAGACTCGGAATTGATTGAAAGTAGTGGTGTTTGATCCAAATAGGGCCAACGATCAAAACTCGTCGCTTTGCCACGAGCTCCTTCAGTTTTTGTTGAACTCTATCGTTTAGGCCCTCAAAATCTCATTTTTGTCAATTTCAAACAGAATTCTGAAATTAATAATAAACCATAAAAGATTTTGAATTTAGTATCGTCAGTTTTTTTAGACTCTAGACGACATGTGCTTTTATGTTAATTAGTTACATCGAAATTTTTTATTTTTTGTAATTTTTGTATAATTAGAGATTTTACCTCTATTATTGGGACAATTAAGGTTTTGGCAGTTCATATATATATATATATATATATATATATATATATATTCTCCGATTCTTTTCTCTATAAATTTAGAGTACCTTTGTTTTATAAGGTTAGAAACGAAGTTTTCTTGTTGTTCCTTCTTCAATTGCGTCAGTTCCTTGGCCATGGGCCGGAAGATATTATGATTATATATGACTTCATGTGATTTGCCGGTTGTCTCAAAAGAATAAATCAAATTTCTCAATGATTTAACCTATTTCACTATTTCAGACAAATAAGAAATTAAAATAACCACTTACCCCAAAATAATATTTTAAAAAATTGAAATAACCATTTTTCTACAATTTTCACATTTTACAATTTTCTTAATTCACTCAAATTCCTTACAATGAAAATAGTAATAAGCCCAAACTGCAATGAATATTTGAGTACCAATTTGCATGGCAATGTCTTCCTTTGCTTGTGTGGCTCCTCATAAATTCATTTCTGATCCTATTTCATGGTCATAGGAAGATCAACCAGAAATTACAGTACATTACTAATCCTAATCACGTGTTGAGCATTGATTGAAAACTTATACAACATTACATGCTTGTAAGCCTTTCCTGGAGCAACAACCGGTGAAGGGAAATTGGGGTGATTGACAGAGTTAGGGAACTCTTGCGTTTCCAAACACAAGCCAGCACGAGCTTGATAAACATATCCACCTTTCCCCTTCACATTTTTTATCATGTTACCGGTATAAAATTGCACCACCCGGTACATTTGACGAAAGCTTCATTACTATTCCAGACTTCTTATCGTGCACCACAGCCACCGACTTGATCTTCTTCTTCTTGTTGTCACCATCAATGACATAGTTGATATCGTAACCATTAGGAAGATCCTTTATCTTGCTATCAATACTTTGTGGTTTGAGGAAATCAAAGGGTGTACCCTTCACAGATGCAATTTCTCCAGTGGGGATGCCCTTAATAACTGGGGTGATTTTGGATGCTTGTAAACCTTTCCTGGAGCAACAACCTACGGAAGGAAATTGGGGTGATTGACATAGTCAGGGAACCCTTGTGTTTCCAAACATAAGGGAGCATGAGCTTTATAAACATATATACCTTTCCCCTTCACATTTTTTATCCAGTTGCCAGTATAAAATTGTTTAAAATTGTCGGTGAAAATTTACTAAACTCAAAAATAGTGAAAAATTACTGATTACAAAAAAGTGAAAAATCGTAAAAGATTACTGAACTCAAAAATAGTGAAAAATAGTAAATTCAAAAACAATAAAAATAGGTAAACTCAAAAACAGTGAAAAATTATTAAATTGAAAAACAGTTGAAGACAATAGACTACTCAAAATTCAATCAAAACAGTAAATGTGAAACAGTGAAATTTATTTAATTTTAATATTTAGGACAATATATCAACGGGCCTTTGGTCTAGTGGTACTCCTTACCATGCGAAGGCTTTACATTCTTAAGGTCAAGGGTTCAAACTCATTTCCCCCTCCCCCCAAAAAAAAAATGTTTAGGACAATAAAAATTAAATTTATTTCTTTGATGTGGTCATTAAAATTGGGACTTAATTTATCTAATTTACTTTATATTAAAATATAATTTAACTAATTTATCTAATATTAATGTCTCAGATAGTAAAAATTAAATTTTAATGCTTCAATCATTAAAATTTGGACTTAATTTTACATAATTTATTTGGCGTTGAAATATGCAAAAAATTAAATAGTAAATTTCGCTTAATTTCTCAATAATTTTCGCTTATCAGATCAATGAATTAATTTCATCATTTGTGCAGCCTAGCCTCAAACAAAACCACAATTGCTACTTATTATGTCTTCCATCCATTACAAGGCCTAGTAATGTGTAGTACAATATCTCATCGTACATTCCTGACACTTACCTTTAGTTCTGACTCCAACCAAACATGTTCAATAATAACACAATATATATATATATATATATATATATATATATATATATATATCAAGGAAAACAGTACAATAAATAGAAAAAACGCTTAAAGTCTTGTGGTTTAAAATGTCCAACTACGGACCAGTATAATATTGTGGTAGACAAAAACACTATTACGCTAACAAGCTGTTCTCAAAAATGACTATTACATGGATCCAAAAATAACTACAGATATATGTGGGTCAAGTAGTTTATGGTGGTGAATTAGATCGAGAAAGTCAGGAAGGAAAAAGTGTGGTAGCTTCAGCGGCATGCATAACATTGGCCAAAGAGCTCTTTGAAATGCAACTTTCGGCTCCTCGGATCCTTGCATTTAAGGTATCCACATTCCCCCTCTTCTCCCAACAAAAAAAAAAGAGCCAAAAAAGGGAACGGGCGCGAGAAAGGAAAAACAATCTGGTATCTCTTTTGCCATGGAAAGTTTTTATTTGTCTGAAAACAATCTTATGGGTCTTGTTTATAACAGAAGGGGGAGCTCTCAGGCTCGACTCGATTGATACTGGCACACAAAGATCCTCCATATTATTTTCCTACCGTGGTTTGACATAATTGTAGATGTTGTTGTTTCCTAACGAGCATCCCTTGCGTGTGTTTTGTGTTTGCGTGGTGGGTAACGGCTGCACAAAAAGCAACACACGAAAGCCAAATTCCCCAAACAAAAAAAAAAAACAAAGCTTTAAGCAAAATCTCAGCATCCCAGAAAAGAATTCAAGCTTTAAGCAAAAATCAATTTTGTGTGTGCGCAGACAATGTGATTGCTCTGTGTGTGGACCACCTCTGTGGCATTTGATCGAACACTTTATGGGCGTTGTGCGATGTGAGTGTTTAGAGAGATAGCGAGGGAGAGAGGAGCAGCGGCAGATGTGTACCTGGGCAACGAAGGTGTATGAGCAGTGGCTAGGTGTTTCACAGCGGCAAACTACAGTGATTTGGGAGACCAAAAAATCATCAAATAAAGCAAGTTGAGATTGGATAGAAGAGTGATACCTTGAGAGAAGTTCAAAAGTTCTTCTGAACCACTTGAAAATCAATTGGAGAAAAGTTTGCAAATTCTCTATATAGAATAGACGAAGTAGAAAGAGATTTGGTTTACATGGCAGCGGCGCTATTATAGTGGTTTATAATTTGGGCATGACTGTGTGAGGCAGAGGAGGAAAGAAAGAGAGGTTGGGCGTGACTGTGTGAAGCAGATAAGGAAAGAGAGGCGGTGGCCGGTGGCCGATGGCCGATGGCTTCGGCGTTTGAGAGATAGATGTTGTGCGTGCAAGATCCTGCACAATATAAAAAATATCGGGAACAGATCTCTCCCCTGGTGAACTTTGAGTGAGCCAGTTGAGTGGCCAAACACGCTGCTTGAAACAGCCTGCAAGATACGGTGGCAACCTGGAACGGCAAAGGAAGATCCTGGGAAAGGAAGAACAATCTTGTACGTGTGAAAGGTTTTCCTGGAATAAAGAGGAACAAGTTAGAAGGGTGCCGGAGTGTGTTCCGGCGTATCCCCTCCGACGGTCTAGTCAGTCTTTGAATGAGAGAGAGGAAGAAGAAAACACTGAGAAAGTCTGTATTGTAGTAGAGAGTTTGTGATTGCATACCCGCTTTGCCTTTTGGGAGGAGTATTTATACCTTAAAAGCTCATGATTGCTGTCAGTGTGGTCAGTAGGTGATCATCAGGCACAGGTAGCGTGTGTATTGATTTGATGAGGAATGTCTTCTCTAATTGACTGCTCGGGGTCCCGAGCAATCAATGCTGAGTCGTCGGGACGCCGGCGGTACAATATGCTTCTTTCGGGAAGGATGCAATAAATGTTCTGTAATAGGAGCATTTATTGTCTTTCATATCCGAACCTTACCGCATTGAATGCGGTCTCGTCAACAGAATGGTGCAATTAATTGTTTGCTTTCCCAAAGCGCGTGTCAGCAACAGCATGCGGTTTGTCTGTTTTTGATGTGATATCATATGTCACGCGTCCATCACGTATTGGCTATGACTTCTGTATTCCAGTATGTTCTGACATTACTTGTGTAAGACGAGGTCATGATGAATAGTCTAGACTGGCATAGGCTGATGTCCCGTTCGTCAGTAGCTTTATCCGGGAGTAGAGGAAGCGTCCAGGATGGAGTGACCCTCGGCACCGAGGAAAGGCTCACCTCGGGGACCGAGGGTGGTATGTTCCCGAGGTACACGGGTGACCGAGGACACGTGTTGTTGTATAATACACCGAATGCGTGATCCTATATGAGAGGTACCTCGGGGGAGAGGACACTTTTTGCCGATGGTGCTTAAATCCGAGCAACACTGTTCTAGAAACCCCGAGGATACGTGTCTTCATCATAGGGCTTTTCAGAAGAGTCTCATCAACTGCCCCCCAGCCTTTGATCTTCTGACACCGAGGACACGCGTTGTAAGGAGACGAAGGGTTTCCCAACTGCCATCCGTCCTTCATTATGGCCTCGAGCCGCTTTCCCCGGCTTGGGACGTCGTGCGCATTAAATGCGTTGTTTTGGTTCTCCCGCCCAATGATGAAAATTTCCCCTTATATAAAGGGGGTTCTTCTCTGGTTTCCATCGTTTTGCCATTTCGATCTTTTATCCAGAGTACGCCTTTCTTGATCTTTCGCCGGAGTTCTTGTTTCTTCTGCCATCGTCGACTGCTCTTTCTCTCAAAAATCACAGAGCCAGCAAACCCATTGTTGATTCCTGGACTTTCTGGTGGGAGTCGTTTTAAAGTTTTTCCTGAAAAACTCCATTTTTGACGTTTCGGGTGAGTTACACAACCTTCTTTTTTATCGTCCTCCTAGCCTTTTTGTTTTCCGATTGAACGGTGGTGTCATCCGGTCGGCACGTCTTGATTTAAACCCTCGGGGAACTTCCTCGGGTTTTCAAGAGTAAATACCTTTTTCTTCCTTTTCTTTTAGAGATGCCTCGTCGTCGCCCTGCTCCCGAGAATCCACCGGCTGGTCCCTCGGGGTCAGGGAAATACAAGGTGAAAGGCGAGGAGCAAATCGATAAGTTTAGGGTCAAGTACGGCATTCCCCCGAGTGTAGACGTAGTGGATTTTAACCCATTATTGCACTCATCTACCTTCGGGGCCGAGGATGCCATGCCTTTCTATACCAAGGCCATCATAGATGGTGGAATTAGGTTTCCTTTACCCCCCTGCTTCTTCAGTTCCTGTCTCGCTTTTGCCTCTTCCTCGGGCAATGCTGCCTTAATGTCTTTCGAATAATCATGGGGGTCTTAGAGCTCAATAGGCGCCTCGGGGTGAATATTGGGCTCCATGATCTCCTTTTCTGTTACTCCCTCCTTAGAGTCATGCCTCACCAACACTTCTACCTCAAAGCCAGGGACCCCTCCATGTACCTTGTAACCCATCTTCCTGACTCGGACAAGGGGTACAAGGACGACATCTTAATCTTCAAGGGATGTTGGCAGAGGGGTGTTGGTCCCGAGTACAATGACTTATTTTGCCCTCTGGAATGGAGAACGACAAGTACGTCGGTTCCTTCGGGTTCTTTATTTGTTTCTCGGGACTTCTCATGTTTATGACAATCTTTTTTGTTGTGCAGATATTCCTTCTCGGGAAACAGCTCCACCCCCTCGGTCGCTGGTGAACTTTGCCGACCTAATCACGGTTTGGAGTTTCACGGGTGACAACGGGTTCGGCCGAGCTGCTCATAATCTGTTGTACTATACCCCCGGGTATAAGAAGTTTTCATTGCTTCCTCAACCTTTCGAGCCTTCGCAGTGGTCAGAACTCTTCGATCAGGCGGCGAGGCTAGAGGTCGAGGAAAATTTGGAGGAAGACTCGGATCGGGCTTCGGAGGCAGAGGTCGAGGGAGTAGCTGAAGAGGTCGGGGTCAGAGAGGACGTTGCTCCTTCGGACGCCGAGGTGGGGACTCCGGGAGGTGACTTGTGGCCCGACTTCCAAATTCTTCAATCTTTGGACGCCGAGGACGCGCTTGAAGTCGCGATGTCAAATACTCCTCGTATCGACCTCGGGTTCTTGAGGCAGAGGCAGGCCCTCGCAGCCGGGAGAGGTCGAGGAACGACCGGCGGCACCTCCTCAGCGGGGACCAGTTCTGCCCCATCATCAAGGGTTCCTGGTCGGGATCAGGTGCGAGACCGGGACCCTCAGGTGGAGGAGGAAAGAAGGGTCAAGCATCGGCATGACGGTCTTGGCCGAGGATCCAGGGCACCTCTCGCTCAGCAGCAAAGCGGGAGGGGTCGTGGGTTACCGCCCGCACCTCCGCAACAGCAGCAGCAACAGCAGCCCCGACAGCAACAACAACAACAGCAGCAGACCCCTCCTCCCGTTCCGCCTCGGGTGGAGGCCGCGGAGTGGAATCCCCGAGCCACTGATCACATGAGCCGAGTGATCAGGGTCGACGATTCTATTATGTCGGATCCTCATGTCGCTAATGCAGTGAGTGAGACACTGCACTTCGAGGCCGACATGGAGGCTCATAGGGGGCGATCAACCAACGTGTTGTTCCGCTCCATCATCCAGAACTCCCTGGTGGTGAGTTTATTTTTGCTTTGGTTCCTTCACTCCTGCTTTCCCTTTCTGTGACTTAACACTTTTTCCTTCCTTTGCAGGCTACCCAGCAGATTTCTATCATTGCTGCTCGGTACCACGCGTCCAGGATGGACCTCCAGAGGGCCCGGGATCAGAAGGCGGAAGCGGAAGCGGCCCTTGCTCGGGCAACGGAAGACGTTGCTGCCAGGGATTCTACCCTGGTGGGGCAGGCTGCCCAAATAGAGCAGCTCCTCAAGGACGCCGAGTCTGCCAAGGCGGGCGCTGAAAAACTAAGTGCCGCACTTGCCGATGCTGAGAGGAGGATTACCGAGCAAACGCAGCGGCTTTCTGCTGCGGAGGAGAGGGCAGTGGGCTCCAAGGAAAGCTGTCTGGCTCTTACCCAGGAGCTAGACAGGATCAGGGCCGAGGAGCTGAACCGGAAGTCGGAGGAACAACTCCTGGAGGAGTTTGCCGATGACGTGTTCCCCGCTCTTGAGGAAAACAGCAAAGAATTCTTCAAGAAAGGGTGGGACGAGGCACTCCAGGCTGCTGGAGTCCCATCAGACTCCCCTCTCTTCCAAGTGCACAAGTATGTGCCCTCGGCAGAGATGGCACAGGCAGAAGCACAGGTTGCTGCCGAGGATGAAGCCCCTACGCCGATGCAGACCTCGGCTGATGCTCCCGAGGCGGTGATAGTGGACTTGTCCGAGGACGCTCCGTCGGACCATGCTCCTGAACCTCAAGTTGCTCAAGCTGTTCAAGTTGTTCCCGCTGTCGAAGTTCTCCTCTTGCCTGCTCCAGAAGCTTCTCAAGCATTTATCGCTGACTCGCCCTCGGCTGAAGTTCTGGAGGTGCCTGGAGCCCGATGAAGCTGCTTCGTTTTTTTTTTTTTTTTTTCTAATTGTATCCCTTCTGCTTTCCTTTTGTAGCCTTCGGGGACGCAAAGCCCCTATTTTTGGAAATAAATAACAAGTTTTTCTTTCCTTCTTCTGTGTACAGTAGTGTTTTGCTTTTCTTTACTTCTGTGTAGAATAAATCATAAGTGTCTTTGAACTGTCTTCGGGGCGTGCTGGCCCATTCCGGAGGCAAGATCTTGTATCTACTCTGGGGACTGGAGTGCTTGTGTTTTGTTCCCAGGATCATGTTCTTTATGGATGCTTGTTCCTGCATTTGCTTCGGGGACGAGAGTCCTTGAACTCTGTCCCCATGGCCATACCCTTGCAGGAGGCTTGCTCCTGTATGTACTTCGGGGACAAGAGTCCTTGAACTCTGTCCCCAGGGCCATACCCTTGCAGGAGGCTTGCTCCTGTATGTACTTCGGGGACAAGAGTCCTTGAACTCTGCCCCCAAGGCCATACCCTTGCAGGAGGCTTGCTCCTGTATGTACTTCGGGGACGAGAGTC